TCTCTCCTCTTCTTCTTCTTATATCCTCTCCTCTCGAGGTTTATGTCACTCTCTCTCTCCTCCTCTTCTTCTCTCTAGAGTGTTATGTCGCATATATAGTCCTGGAAGAGTCCATGTTGTAGGTATGTTACGGTCTCACAACATATATATATATATATATATATATATATATATATATATATATATGAGACATGTTTCGTTAAATAATTTAGATATGTTCTCTCTACTTATTCTCGATAGGATCATTTCATATTCACGGAAAACCTTTTTTGTGTGATTATTGAAAGACAAGAGGAAAACGTTGTGTTGATATATATTGTATTTATTTAACGAGTACTTTCGACATAGAACAATATCACCAGGGTACATGGAACAAGGGAGGTAACTAGGCATGTCGTGGAGAGATTTTACGAAACGAATAGTAGAAAAAACAAAGGAAAACAACTATGAGTACAAAACTTGCATTTCAAACTATCTATTGTACACATTTTAAAACATTTGTGGAGTATTCATAATTAATACACACACACACACACACACATATATATATATATATATATATATATATATATATATATATATATATATATATATATATATATATATATATCTGCGTGTGTGTATTTACAGAACTAGAACGGAAAAGACAAGTCATTTCTTTTAGTTGTTCACTGAAGACATTTGGGTTTAAGATCAAAAGATGAATACGAGTCAAGAGTTCTTTATACCTTATGAGATACAAGCTTTTGTGTGTTATCGATTTATTTTAGGTGAGCAGAAGTAAAGAAGCATATAGTGAAAGTAAGTAGCATTCAATATTTGTTTGCAATAAATGCATCAAGTCTGAGACCCATAGACATCACAAAAATGTTGCTTACTTCAGTTGTGATGCAAATTTAACGCAGCCTCTTTCAGCTCTTGTTTGTTTCAGAAAGTTTCTTCCTTCAGTCTCCTGAAATGAATGATTAAGGGTTAAGTTTAAGTGATTGACTTGGCCAGCCTAAAACTCTCCACTTTTTACTCCCGATAAAGTTCCTTATTGTGTTGATAATATGCTTTTGGTCATTGTCCTGCTGAATGATAAACTTTCTCCTGATTAGTTTGGATGCATTTCTCTCTAAATTAGTTGGCAATGTTTCTGTAGACTCCCAAATTCATTCAGTTGCTGACATTATGATCAATAAATATGAATGAACCTGTAACAGATCAGCTTATCCAGACCAAGCTACGACAATTCCTCCATAATTTTTCACAAATGAGTCGTAGTCCTTGGACCAAATGCAGATCGTTTCTGCCTCCAAACTTTGACCTTTCCATCCGTTTGGTAGTGATTAATCTTGGTTTCATCAGGCCATAAAACCCTAACATTCACCTGTGTACTTTATTGCAAATTCATTTTCTAAATCTCTTTCTCAATACATAAATAGTTTCTTAAACTTTTCGGGCCATTCCAAATTGTGGTTTTGGATATGCCCAATACTTGTCAATTGACTCTGACCTCGTTTCCATCTTTTCTCAGATAGCTTTTCTTTTCTCCCATAGACAGATTACTCGTCATTATGCTTTTCTATTCTTTTAAACAAGAAATTCAGTATTTACAGGTGAAACCCAAGGCCAAATCCAAGAGCTGTCATTCAGAAATATTTAAAGTTTTAAAGCAACAACTGGGCATCAAGAAACACCTGTCAGTTACACGTTCCAATAGTTTTGCTTACTTGAAAAGTAAATAAATACAAACAGGTAAGTACAAATAGGTAAGTACAAACAAATGGTGGTATGTGCTAATCTTTTTAACACATCTAAATGTAATTATCAGAAAATAGAAGCTGAAATTCAGCACACTTGCCTCATATTCATGAAATTAAACCAAAATGTCTTCAGTGAAAACAAAGGCAAAGGAATCGACCTTGCGGTTCCAATATTTTTGGAGGTAGAATGTATATTTGTCTACTTTTACATGCTTCTCGTTGACATTATACTAGTCACCAAATTTTCTTCTGATGAAAAGTTTAACGTTTTAAGGAAAATATACAGTTATATATATATATATATATATATATATATATATATATATATATATATATATATATTAGGAAAATCAATGATAATGTAAAAAAAATTCGTGTCGTACATTTCGTTATTTAGTTTCCTCGGACTAAAGTTGTATTTATGTTAATATAAATACACATGAGCATGAAGGAGAGGGGGCGTTGACATTTAAAACTTCTGAATTTCATTTTTTAAAGATGAGTTTAGGTATATACAGTAGCAAATGGGATTGTTTTATTTTATTTCATTTTTTTTGTTAAGGCTTTTATCACTTTTGTTACTGAATATAACACATTGTCATAACAAAAGCTCTGTCAAGAAAGGTGAAAGGTTGTAAGAAGCAGGATGTAAAATGACTGGGGTTGATCTTGCGATTAAAGCCGTTGCTATATACTTTTAGCTTAGAAAATTGACTTTCTTCAGCGATATAAAATGCATATATCTTTTTCTCACATATATATATATATATATATATATATATATATATATATATATATATATGTGTGTGTGTGTGTGTGTGTGTGTGTGTGTGTGTGTGTGTGTGTGTGTGTGTGTGTGTGTTTGTGTGTGTGCTTTATAAATACCTAAGTTTATAATAAAAAACGAAATCTCGCCCTTCGGAATCAAAATTATATTAGACCAATATTATTTATGAATTTAAATGCTCTATCGCGAACTGTATTCCGGAAAAAATTATATATATATATATATATATATATATATATATATATATATAACTACGCTGAACACACCTCTCCCTGATGACTCCATAGTCCGTAGTGATGGGGAGATCACTACGGACACATGGAATTATATTAAAAAAAATAAATAAATAAATAAAAACAGGGATGTCAAAACGGGCATCGACTAAAAATAACGTATAAAGTTATGTATATATATATATATATATATATATATATATATATATATATATATATATATATATATATATATATACCTGAGCACGTGAACACACACACACACACACACACACACACACACACACACACACACACACACACATATATATATATATATATATATATATATATATATATATATATATGAATGTGTGCGTCTCTGTACATGTATATATATAAATTTAAAATTAAGTGTTGACCCAAAGAAACCTGCCAAAGATTTTTCACCATCCCTCTCATATACATACATATATATATATATATATATATATATATATATATATATATATATATATATATATATATATATATATATATATCCAAGTATATGATTGGTGCATGGAATAAATTCCAATAACCAACAATTACTGTTCTTAAAAGTGTGCTCAATACAGAGTATAGTGAATATAATTATAACATAAATATGTTATAAAATCACTTTTTATTCATTTTATAACATATTTATGTTATAATTTTAAATAAATAATTATATATATATATATATATATATATATATATATATATATATATATATATATATATATACTGAGGAGATTACTGAGTGACCATTGAGCGAAACTATCCAGTCGAATTAGTGAGAATTATTGTGTGTCGATGATTTGATTTTTGATTTAGGCTTTATCGGATATTCAGCTGAGCCGCGCTACCAGCAAGGTATTCACTGAAACGCTCAATTAACTTTGGTTGACTTTTTCTTCTTCTCTGGTTAAGTGTTTATTTTCGGTTGTAATTAAATACTGTTTTATCTTAACATTGAAGTCTTGTGTTATATTTAATTATTAACGGCCATCTTACGTTACAAAAGATAGATAGATATTGTCATATAAGAAGAAAATGAGTAACTACCGACACTTAGGTTCGAGCGTGACCCTCTGAAGTTAGGAATATATTTTTTCCGCCATGTGTATAAATAGCGGTGTCAGTCTACTGACTGTCGTGACTATTGAGTGGAACTATCCAGTCGAATTAGTGTGAATTATTGTGCGTCGATGATTTGGGTTATGATTTTGGATTTACCGGACATTCAACCGAGCCGCGCTACTAACAAAGTATTCAGGGAAATGGTTAATGATATTTGGTTGACTTTTAATTCTTTGTTCTTGTTAAGTATTTTTTATGCAGTTGTAAGTAAATACTATTTATTTAACATTGAAATCTTGTGTTATACTAAATTATGAAATGCCACAGTATGTCACAAAAAAAAAAAAAAACACAGAACAAAACAAAAAGCTAAACAGACAGAAATTAAGCTGTGTAGTTTAGTAACAAAAGATGCAATGTGTGACATAGACATCCAAAGGCTCTTTGAAAGAACGAATTATGCCTTCCAGAAAGTAAGCAAAGTATTAAGAGAATGGAAAATGGTAGAAACAGAGAAAATAGTGCTGGCTACTATATAATATCTAATTTCCTAGGTTTTTGTTGGGAATGTTTCAGAATAATGTTAGGTCAGACACCAGGGGACGCGCCCAGCAGGTACATTCTCATATGGCAAGGGGATAACGTTATTACCCGGTGCCAAAAAGGGAAGTACCGAGATTGACTTGAACATTTTTTCCACGGTATTAGCGGTCAGCCCACTTTAAAACTCGGCCTTGTGTCACACTTGGTAAACGTGGGTGCATTGAAAAATTCCGCCACTTCCTGGATGGTTGTTAGATAATCTCACAGATGAAGAAAAAGTCATAAAACGACAAAGATGTGGTTCTACAGATAAATTCAATTCATTCTTTTTGTATATCTTCTTCATATATTCATTTTTCGCCATGCTTTTATTTTCAGTGTTTCTATATTTTTAGTTTTCATTCATCATCTTCTTTCTTTACCATCATTCGTTAATTTTCCAATCGTCATTATTTTCTTCTTTATTTATTATATTTTAATTTTTCATCTCTCCATAACTACTTCTCGTTCCTCCAATTTTCTTCTTAATTTCTTCTTCTTATTCTATATAATATTTTTTTTTTAATTTTTCTCCTTTCTTCTTCGTTTCCATTTGTTATATTTCAG